CTCGGCAGCTTAAAGATCAGCTGTTAGAAAAGCTGCCAGGACAGTTCCTGAGACAGACACCAGTGGGGTGCCAGTGTCTGAGATAAATCAGTCCAACTGTATTTAGGGACGAACCAACTCACTAATCCAACTGGGGTACAACGTTAGATTATAAACTCCTAGACCTCGTTAGTTCTATAAATCTCGTTTGGACTACCAGCTTTGTAACTTTTTTAGATCTAGTTCTTGTTTTTGCTAACCACACAGCAGCATTTCTGTCACAGAGGTAAGAATTCTGATTTTTTTCCAACGCTTAATTGATATTTTTCTTTAGAGAGGGTCTTACTGGGCCACAGTCCTCTTGTTTTGTGGTAGGCAGTTAGTTAGCCATGAGTGGGCAGCTCTAAGAGAAAAGTGAAGGTTCACCTAGCCCTGGGCTCCAGGAGGGCGAGGCAATTTGCCATCTTCCTTCCTTGGGGCCTGAGGGGCACACACAGGGATGATTCTTAGATTTTTCTCTTATCAAAAAGACCCAACCAGCATTTTGGTCAATACCCTAACCCCCAAGTAAGCGTTTTGGTCAACACCCTAATTCCCACCAGGTCAATGTCCTAATTCCCACTAGGACGGTGAATTAATTAGGCAGTCTAATTAAACAACCTGGCTCACACTGGGCATGGGCAATAAGGTAATCAAATTCCTCATTCCTTACCTGTGAGAGAAGTGTGCAAGTGCAGGAGAAAATGTGGATTCTAATTCCAACGAAGGACAGAGGTATATGACAGACCTCCCACAATAAATATTCATGATCACCTCTAGTAATAAAAGTAACAATGAACCAATATCAAGCGCAGTTGTCACCCGGCAATCTGCCCGCCCAAGAGCCTTTCTGGGTGTACTTTCCTTTCTTTCCTATTAAACCTTCTTTTCTACCTACTTCATTCGTGGTTGCGGTTTCGTTTTGTGCCTAGGGACAGATCTCTTATTTTAGTGATCTGGACCCAAAGAACCAAGGGCATCACAACCAGCAACACGTCCTCCCTTCCGTTAACATTTCCAGTTTCCCAGGTTGCTAGGACTACAGGCCCATGTCATTAGGCATAACCTTGAGATGGGACTAGGACTCAAGCCTGGGCTTCCCATGTGGTCCCCGTCTGTGGAATCCAGTGTCTTAGCAGCTAGGCCCACTGATTATTATTATTATTTTCAGTTTTGCTATAGGATGGACGTGTTCACGGGAGATAGACAGGGAGAGAGAGAAAGTGAGAAATCACTGCGCCCTCCAGGTGGGATGGCCACGCCCTAATCCTTTCTCCTCCAGTTTCCTCTTGGGATTTTGGGGACGCACGCACACATACCTGACGTGTTTTTAAGCCACCGAGTCCAGGACTCAAACCACCCAGTCGGCCACATGGGACCCAAGTGCCTTAACCACTATGCCACCTGCTGACCCTTAATTAATTCTTTTATTTTTATTTTTATTTTTATTTTATATTTTGAGAGGTTTTTGCTATAGGGTGCGTGCACTCGCCAGACAGAGAGAGACAGAGAGACAGAAAGCGAGAAATCACCCCCCAGAGAGGATGGCCATGCCACAATCCCTTCTCCTTGGTTATCCTCTTGGGATCTTGGGCATGCACGTACATGCGCCCGGCGTCATCGGGTCCAGGACGCAAACCGCAGTCAACTACATGGGAGTCCAGAGACATAGCCATTACGCTAACTGCTGGTTCCCACCCTTAATTAATTCTTAAAGGAGATGTGATGGGAGAATTTGTTTTAGCTTTGTCATGAGGAGCATCTGATAAGACAAATTCATAACTCTGTCTGAAAATATTTGGAAAGTCAACCAGCTGAGCCACTCTGAGCTGTTCAGCAACTAGGCAAACCTGTTTTGTGTCCCAGATTTTTCAGAGCCTTTTCTTCCCCTGGACCTTTAGCATAAAGAACAGGAGGGTCGTTATCTATACATGTGAAGTCCTTTTATCTAGGCAGTAGGGCTCGGAAACTGTAGGTAGTATTTAAAAGAATGAGGAAATATAAACAAAACATCCTCTCAAACAACGCCTCCTTGAACTACCTTTTATTTGAGGCTGAGAAGTTTTTTGTCTAGCAGGAAACAATGACCATCAATGGACCCCTCAGGCATTCTCGCCCCAGGAAATTGCTGTGGTTTCCAGCTAGGCCTTTTTCTGCTCTTCACCTGTGTCAGCTTGGACTGCTTTGAAGTGAAGAAACAGCAATAAAAAGGCCCAGAGAGGAAGTTTCCAGATTCCACTGAAAAAAAGAGAACTTGGTGAAAAGCAGGTCACCTATTTTTATGAGCTTTTTTGCCATTGCCTGCCCTGTTTGGGTATTTGTCCCCATCAGCCACCACCGCATTGTGGGGTGGAGCAAAAGTGTCATTTCCTCCATCTAGATGTGAGAGGGTGGAGGGATTGAAGTTGCTGTTTTCCTTTTTCAAATGAAAATAAAAATAAACAGAGTGATTCAGTAGGGAAGGGAAGCTGTACACGTGGGGTGCATAAATTTGTCGCGTATAATAGCATCTAAATGCATGAACACCTCATAGGTTTCCATTTTTGTTTTGTTTTGTTCTAGTGCAGCCTGACATTCTTTCTAAATTTTCTTTTGAGATTTCTTTTTCTCGCCAGAGAGACAGAGAGAGACAGAGACAGAAAGTGAGAAATCACCTCCAGGAGGGTGGTCACACTACAATCCCTTCTCCTCCATCCTCCTGCTGGGATTTTAAGCATGCACACGCCAGTGCCCAGAGTCTTGTGAGAGTCCTGAGCCTTAATCACTATGCTATCTGCTGGCCCCTATTTTATTGATTTATTTTTTAATGCCAGAGTGTGTGAGACAGAAACAGAGAAAGTAATAAAGCACCCCCCCACCCCCAACACATGCACAGGGGAAGGACACGCTGCAATCTCCCTCCTTTCAGGATTTTGGGCACGCATGTACAAGTGTCCAGCAAGTTTCTCAAGCCACCAGGTCTGGGACTTCAGCTATGTAATCAGTCATTGGGGTCCAGGTGCCTTAACCACACACCGACTCTCCTCCTGACGTATCTCCAATCTTACTCCAAGCCAGAGCTTCCTTTCCCATCAGATGGATCATGGGGGAGCCTCCAAAGGATGAAACAAATCTTGGGGATCTGATGAGGTGGTGTAGATAGCAGCTTTAGGAAGTGACAAAAGAAATCTCATGAAGACCAACTACCCACCTACACCCAGATCCCAATACGGTTTCTATCGGTAGCTTTCTGTCGGTAGCTTTCATCCTTCAAGCAAGGATAGAGTGAAGGTCATATCGGGACACCTTCTCTTTACCACCAACAGTCATTGTTTGGTTCATCATTTGATTTAATTCAGACTGACTGACCTTCACACAGTTTTAAATATGAATACATTTTCAAATAGAGCTGTCATGACTTTCTTCAGAAGCTTAATATTTCACTATCATTCTGACTTCTCCCTGTTGAGAATAGGGGGTTATTTTAAAGTGTTATGATGTACCTTTTCTTTTCTGTGTTGTCAGAATCAGAGGAAGGGTGAATTCACCCTCTCTGAGATGAGACGTCCATCTGTCTTCAGTCATCCGAGCTCCTGGGTCTCAGGCTTTCGGACTCAGACTGAATCATACCACTGATTTCCCTGGTCCTCTAGTTACTTTTTTTGCTTTGTCTAGAAAGGCAGTAATTACTCTGTGTGCCCCTAATCCTTTTTTTCCCCCTCCTCCAGGGTTAGAACCAGATAACATTTCTCAGTCTCCTTCTTGGGTATGTGGTCTGGTGACTACCCCCTACCAAACCTTCCACTCTTGTTTTCTCATTATTTATGAATCTGGAAATCAAAGGACTCTAATGCCCTAGAGGATGGCAGAGACATGGAGCTGGGTCCTGATGCATCTCTTGGAAGATGGCCCTGAAGGTGGGCTGTCTGACCAGGAACCCCCACATTGAACTATTTAGTGAGTGAAAAATGGCTGCACTGACATTGACTGGTAGGACAGTTAGCCTCTTGACAACACAATTGGGTTTCATGCTGCCTATGGCTGTAGAGTTCATCCCCATTTGCTTCCTAATTGAAGCATAATGAGCATCAATAGTCTATTTGGATTTTTGCATGGTCGCTTTTTAGAGTTTTGGGATAGGAGGTGAGGGCTTGCCAGAGAGAGATAGAAAGAGAGAGGGAAAGTGAGAAATCATCCCTCCTTGGGTGGGATGGCCATGGCACAATTCCTTCTTCTCTATTCTCTTGGGATTTGGGGCATGGACACACATGTACCGGGCATACTTTTTAAGCTGCTAGGTCAGAGACTCTAGTTTGAATGTCTCTACCAAAATTCACATGTTAAAATCTAGTAAGCCATTGTAAAGGTATTAAGAGGATGGAAGGGACCAGCAGTTGGTGTAATGGCTATGTCGCTGGACTCCCATGTAGTTGACTGTAGTTTGAGTCCTGGACCTAGTGGCTTAAACTCAAACCGGGCGCATGGGTGTGCATTCCCAAGATCCTGAGAGGAGAATAGAGGAGAAGGGATTGCAGTGTGGCCATTCCCCCTGTGGTGTGTCAATCAACAGATGTCAATCTGTTTCAGAATACAGAAAATAAAAGACATGGTTAATACACTTGCCTGCTCTCAAGGCTTTGTAAATCTCTGGAAACTAATAGGCACTCAATAAATGCTAGATTTTTATTGCATGCTGTTTATGCTTCAGCACAGGAAAATACAAAAGATTGCCCCTATCCTCAGATGTTTAAGCTGGAGAGATAATACAGAAACACAAGATGTAACATAAAGCAATATATGTCATGAGCGCTAGGGAGGTTCTACGGATGCTAGATGACCCTGGGCTGGGAGGATCCGAGGAGACTTAGGAAAAGTTCAGGTGGTGGGTGCTCTTGAAGAAGAAGTAGGACTCCAAGATGAAGAGAGAAGAGCAGAGGAACACCACACCATGATGCAGGCTCCAGGAGATGCATTTGGCTCATTCATCACTGTTCGCCAAGGTGCCTGGCCCAAGACGGACAATCTTGTAAATACTAGTTACATGAACATGACTCTGGGTTGGGCAGGGGGATGGATACATGATTGAAGACCTTGAGATCAATCTGAAAAATAAAGAAATGTGTCTGAAAAGGTAGGTTTGAACCCTTTATTAATCTGCTAAGCAGATGCCAAAACAGGATTAAAGGTACATATATTTATTAAAGAAAGCCCCAGAGACAAAGTGGTGGTGGAGGGGGGGTAGGGTGAGGCTGGGAGAGTTGTGAGAACATGAGTAAAGGGAAGAGAAAGGGAAGGTTGGGTAGAAACAGCCTAGATTGCTGTGCAGTCTACTGAAGGTCATCAGGGAGTCCTGAGTCAAAATCAGCTGTCAGCTATTCAGGAAGTTGCAGGACCAAGTACAGAGTCAGGACTTACAACACAAGTCTCCTTGATTCTCGGGGGTCGGTGCTCTTTCCTTTTTTGGATAAGTAAATAAATGTATGAGGAGTCAAATGGCTCTCCCGGAATTGAAGGAGAATTTTTATTCCTTCTATCCTGCCTTCGGTGATAGAGCATAAAACTTACTGGAAAATTATGCTGAAAGATAACCAGTAAGCCCCATGGCTTGCTGGGAATAGGTTCACATGGCACTACCTTGCAAACTACCTTGACAATGTCAGTGCCAAGTTCCTGGTTTGTATGTGCAAGCAACCTTCAGTAAGGAGCTGTGCAAAATGATGGGCAAAGCGCCAGAGAAGGTCATTGACTTGATCGTTGACCTCCCTGGCTTCAGTTTCCTCATGAATGAAATAGGAAGTTTAGAAAAGATGTTTGCAAAAGTCTACCCAACTCTTGCCTGAGGATTCTGAGAAACCTGACAGGTGTGAACCTTGTGGCTTCATTCATGAAGAGCGAGGAAAATCATGGCTCCCGTGGATGGGGTAGGACAAGGATGGCTTCCTTTGGGGTTGTGTTGAAGGTACGATGAAGCCATTGCATTAGGCTCAGGGGCTTTAATGTTCTTAGCTCCAGTTGAGGCTCTACAAATTAAATGAGAGTGAGACATGGTACCTGACCGTGGGGAATTCAGGTTAGTTAGAAGACTTGGTGAGAGGCGATGTGAGCTGAGGAAAGGAAGAGAGTGTGGGGAAGGACTCTGTGGAGTCACACAATCTCTGAGTTGGATTCTTCTTGAAAGACCCACTTTCTAGAGTTGAGGGAAGGTGGGCTTACTAGAGCAGCAGCTGGAACAAAAGTGGTTCTCACACAATGACTTGCTGTTTCCCAAGTGTGACAGGGTCAAAGATGACCAGCTAGAAATGTCCCCATGCTGCTCCTCACCCACCCCAGATCCTACTCTAGATGTGGAGACCGCTTTCTTGGTCCACTCACCAGGGGGCTTCTTCTGGTGCAAAACACTCTCTGAGGGGAGGCAGAAAATTGTGATGGGTTCCTTAAAAAAGGCAGATGAGAGGAGGCAAACAAGTTAGAGGAGAAGGTAAGTAGGTCTTTTCTAAAAAAAAATAATAATTTTTATGACTTTATGAGAATATATGTTCATGAGATTTTTTTTCTTTTTATTGCCTGTGAGTGAGAGAAAGTACCTCCCAATGGGACATGGTCACACAATCCTTTCTCTCTCTCTTTCTCTATCCTGTCAGGATTCTGGGCACTCATGCACACATGCCCAACATGTGTTTCTAGCCACCAGGACTGGGATTCAACATGCAGTTGGCCATGTGGGATCTGGCTCCCATAGCACAGGGCTTAACTGCTGTCCTACAGGGCCAGTCCAAAGCTAAGTAGATCTAGTAATAGGAAATTCATAGAGAAGAGATGAGAAAGTGGGAGAAAAATGTCTCCTGGGGCCAGGAGAGGAGAGAGAATGGGGAGGGTATGTGGTGAACAGGAGGTTGTGAGTGTGCATTAAGATTACTGAACTAGGGACCAGCAGATGGCATAATGGTTATGTCTCTGGACTCCCATATAGTTGATCGCTGTTCAAATCCCAGACCCAGTGGCTTAAAACTCATGCTAGGCATGTGTGTGTGTGCATGCCCAAAATCCTGAGAGAAAAATGGAGAAGAAGGGATCGTGGTGTGACCAGCACCCCCTGGGGGTGATTTCCATTTTCTGTCTTTCTGTCTCTCTCTGTCTCTATGACAAGCACAAGTACCCTATAGCAAAAATCTCTCTGAAAAAAAGGGAGGCAAAATGTAGGAGAACTTCAAAAAAATCATAGAAAATGGAGTTAAATATGGATTTATGTTGGTGCCAAAAAATAAAATCCATGCATAGTTTTTTTCATATTTATTTTCCATGAACTTTTTTTTTTTAAAAAAGAATGATTTTATTTAACTTTATTTATTTATTTATTTTCAGTTTGGTTAGAAAGGGAGGGAGAGAGAGAGAGAGAGAGAGAGTAAGCCGCTAGGTGTGGGACACACACCGGAGAGAGTAAGCCACTAGGTCTGGGACTCAAACCGTGGTCAGCCATGTGGGAGTCCAGTGCCCTTAACCACCATGCCACCTGCCAGCATCACTCTTAACCACCACACCACCTGCCAGCCCTTCTCATGAGTTTTTTGAAGATCGCTTTAAGTACATGGAAATTTTGAATTGACTCTCTGCTCCTCCCTTTAAACATTTTTTTTTTTAACATTTTTTTTTTTTTTGAGAGACAAGTTCAAGATTTCCGTTTTGAATGTTTCTGGCAGCTTACACCTTTCCTTTTCAATCATGACATCATCCAAAGACCAAACCTTCATGTTTGGCATTCTAAAGACTACTGTAGACTTACAATACATACGTGCATAATTGGAATGCGTTGTGGCCAAGGAGTATTTCCAAAGACCTTCAGGGCTCCAGGGAGGAGCATTATTTCCCATGAATGGGTCAGAGAGAATGAAGCATTTGATCTGCTTGAATATGCATTCATCCAGGAAGAGTCAAAGCCAGGCCTCAAGCAGACAAGCAGTCCAACACCCTAGCTGCCATGCTACCTGGCAGCTTCCACCACTTTATTCTTAGAGCTGCACATTCACTTCCTGGGAAAAAAATAGTCTCGGATTCTCTTCTTTCAATCCACGGTCCCAGGACTCTGTTTACCCTAGTTTGACATTGCTGTTCTAGAAATGCCTTCTTTGATGCCTCATCTTGGTGACCCCTCCATATAACAAGAAATTCATTTAAGACTGGAGTTGCATGTGTGCACGCTTCAACACACACTTGATTACACCTTAGTCTGCTTTGCTGAGCATATCGGTGGAGATTTAAGAAAACTGATGAAACAAAGAAGACTAAATTGCAGTGGTTTAAAGATTGGAACCAGCAGATGGTACAATGGGAATGTCATTGGGCTCCCATGTACTCAACTGTGGTTCGAGGCCCAGATCCAGCAGCTTAAACTCATGCCGGGTACGTGTGCGTGCGTGCCCAAGATCCCGAGAGGAGAATGGAGGATAAGGGATTGTGGCATGGCCATCTCCCCTGGGGGGCTATTTCTTGCTTTCTGTCTCTCCATTTTTCTCTGTCTCTCTGGCGAACACATGCGCCCCATAGCAAAGTTTACAGTTTAGAATTAGCAGCAGTTGGGACCAGGAGATGGTGTAATGGTTAAGTCGCTAGACTCCCACACGGCCGACCGTGGTTCGAATTCCGCACCTAGAAACTCATGCCAGGTGTGTGCGTGCATGCCCAAAATCCCAAGAGGAGAAGGGATGGCAGCATGGCCATCCCCCCTGGGAGGGGGTGATTTCTTGCTTTCTGTCTCTCTATCTATCTGGCAAGCACATCCACCCTATAGTAAAAATCTCTCTAGAAAGAACTAGTACCAATCATGGTTTAGGAGCAGATGAGCAGAATCTCAGCACTTGGTCTATCCTTCCCATAAGTAGCCTGTGCCTCCCCTAGTTACGGAAGTCATTTGCTTGTCATTCTGTCATGCACATTTACATGATCTCTGAGCCTATGATAATATTTACACAGACTCTGGGGTCTAACAAATCTGGAACATTTAAATAGTCTTCTTTGTTATGTCATAAAACCAACATACCCTGCTGGCCGCTGGCTCAGTGTCCGCCTTCCTCCTAACAATCAATGTATTCTTCCAAGAAATCTCCAGGTTTTCTTGCAGGGGTTTGGTCAAAACACCTGTCATCCAGAAAAGACCATTTACTAACTTTCTGCAACAGTTTTCTTTTCTGTGTCTATTAGAATGATCAATAAATGTTCATGGGGTAAAAGGTGACAGGGAAGAGAATATCAGTAATTACAATGGTCATTTATTCTTCACTGTAAACGGAGCGTGCACAAGGAGCTACTTATCCCTAAGAAGTGACACAAATGTGGATTGCACACAACAAGTGTCATAAGCATACAAAGAGCAGACTTCACATTTGTGCTGAATCTTTATTTTTACTTACACTTTCTTTCATTTTTTTAAATTTAAAACTCTCAGACAGATGAGCATTTGTGATGCACTTGAATTCACTGCCCAGAGCACCTGGAGGCCAGAGTGCCTCCCCTGGCTTCTCAGCCTCTCCCAGCAGCTGTGTGCCACAGAGATGGGCCCTCTGTCCCTCTGCAGCTGGCACTCCTATCCAGACACAATGTAAGTCAGTTTGATCCTGTTCAAGTGGGAGTCATCTTCAGAGACATGATGTCCCAGAAACAAATAACATAAGACAATATAAGATGCTCCATTATTCCAGCCACATGAGGAAATATGCATTCACTTACACGCTACTCATACATTTATTCATTTACCTAGCAAATATTGATTGTCTACTTACTTTTACTCAAGGTATTTATAGGATAAAGGCTGTACAACAAAGACATTTTTAAAAAAATGCAGTGGCAGGCCTGCAGATGACGTGGTGTTTGAGATGTTGGACTCCCACATGGCCAACTGTGGTCTGAGTCCCAGACCTGGTGCCTTGAAACACGTCGGGTGCATGTGCATGCATGCCAAAAATCCCAAGAGGAGAATGGAGAAGAGGGATTGTGGAGAGGCCATCCCTCCTGGAGGTGATTTCTCACTTTTCTTCTCTCTATCTCTGTCTCTCTCTTAGGAGAGTGCACGTGCCCTATGGCAAAATCTTTTAAAAAAATGTCCAGTGCCTTAAAGAGGAAAGAGTCTCTGTTCTTTCTGATCACAGCCCAGGCAGTTCACAATGGCAGGACAGCTCAGCTGCATGTGGCCACACAGGGACCCTGTTGCTCCTTCATCCCACAGGCCACGTCCTTGTGATGCATGTGTTTATGCAAGGGGTCTTCAAAAGGTTCACAGAAAATGCTTATTGTGAAAAAATGATTCATGGATTTCAAAATGTTTTCGAACCCAAAGAAACTTGCACTTGAATTTCATTGTTTCACAAACTTAAAAAAAAAAAAGTTTCCACAGGGTATATGCACTTGCCAGAAACAGACAGACAAAAAGGGGAAAAACTCTGTGCTTATCACCCCATGATCTCTTCTCCTCCGTTTCTCCAACCCATTGGGATGTGGGGCATGCACTCACATGTACCTGGTGTGTTATCTCAAGACACCGTCCAGCACTCGAGCTGTGGGGTTGGCCATGTGAGATTAAGTTGGCCATGTGAGATCTACCTCGTTGATGTGGCCACTCAACCTGCATTGGTAAGATCATGATCACGTGGCCATACCAAGCTGCAATGGATGCTGGGAAAGGTAGTCTCTAGCCAGCAGTTCTGTGCCTCAGTGACATTTCATTCCATGCAAGAAACCAAGAAAAGATTGTCATGGAGCAATTCCACAAAATGGTGTGGACTCTATGTGCTCTATCGAAGTTTGTTTTCATTTTGTCTCATAGTAGAGATGCATTTACCTTTTAAAAATTACATTATGCACAGTGAGACAATTCATTCAAAGCAGAATCTCCACACCTTTTCCCACTCCCTGAAAAAGGTGATTGCCCCATTACTTACAGATCGAGTCTAATCATGCCATTAGGTTCTTCTTTGGCTCACTGACTCATTGTTGTCATGAATCAGACACTGTTGCCATGAGTTTCAAACATGCCGGTTGGCCCCAGGTCTTGCATATCCTAACACATATTGAAAATGAACCCACCAAGACCCACAGGCAATAATCCCAAATAGACAAGTGAGGTTAAACTGAGTTAAAAAATCTCCTCACAGCAAAGGAAACAATAATTAGAGTGAAAAGACAAACCTCAGAATGGGAGAAGATATGTGCAAATTATTCTTCAGACAAGGGACTGATATCCAGAATATATAGGGAGTTCAAGCAACTTGCCTATAAAAAAAAAATAATAATAATCCAACTATAAAATGGGGAAATGAATTGAATAGATAGCTCTCCAAAGAAGACTTATGCATGGCCAAAAGGCATATGAAAAAATGGTCAAAGTCTCTTGTCATAAGGAAAATGCAAATTAAAACCACAACATGATGACGTTGGACCCTAGTTAGAATGGCTAGGATCAGAAATTAAAGAATGACAAAGGCTGGCAAGGCTGTGGCAAAAAAGGGAACCTTCTTACATTGTTAGTAGGGATGTAAATTAGTACAGCTCTGCGGAAAACAATGTGGGCATTCCTCAAAAACCTACAGTCATGGGACCAGTAGATAGCTTAATGGTTATGTTGCTGGACTCCCATGTAGTCAACCATGGTTGGAGTCCTGGATCTTGTGGCTTAAAACTTACACTGGGCACATGTGTGTCTTTTCCCAAAGTACTAAGAGGAGAAAGGATTGTGGCATGGCCATCCCTCTAAGGATGATTTATTGCCTCTGTCTCTCCATCTCTCTCTCTGTCTCTCTGTGAGGGCATGTACTCTATAGCAAAAGTCTCTCTTAAAACAAACAAACAACCTACAAGTCGAACTACCATATGACTCAGTAATTCCACTCCTTGGTATTTACCCAAACGATAAGAAAACACTCAGTTGGAAAAGATGCTTGTATATCCATGTTTATTGCAGAATTTATTCAGAATATGTAAGACATGGAACTAATCTAAGTGTCCAAAAACTGATGACTGGATTGGAAAACTGTGGCACATATATACTATAGAATATTATTCAACTAAAAGAAGCAATGAGAGCCTTTTGTTTGATTCAAAGTGGATGGATATAGAAAACTTAATGTTGAGTAAAGTGAGCCAGACTTGGAAAGACACACACAGTATATCCCCTCTCAAGTTTGTATTGAGTGTCTGCATTCTGTGGGGGAGGTTGAGAGATCTGAAGATGTGATGGTGGAGAGGTTGGGTGAGGATGCTAGAGACTATAAGGGGGCATTGTGGCTGGTAGTCAATAGTTTGTGGAGGGTAAATGTGAGGTGCAAGTTGAAGAAACATTTGAAAGGCAGAAAAATAGAAAGTTCTCTGTTGAAAGAAAGCGCCATACACCATGATGGGGAATTTATGTAAAATGTGAAATTCATCTGAAAATTTTTAAAAATAATAATAAATAAATTGAACCCACCACGGCATAATCAGGCACTGGGCTACTATCACTTTTAGCACACATGTGACTCAAACTCTTCATGTCTGCTGAAGGGTGGTTTTCTCTGGAATTGTGTGCAATTGTGGTTAAGGCTTGGGAGTGTCATCCAGCTGCCAATGGGCAAACTGCTCATCCTATGGAGAGACACTATCACTGCTCATCACCAAAGAAGCAGCAGAACTGATTGATGTAGGGGAATAACAGAGCTTTCCCATCGTTGTTTTAATCCTGGATCTAGCCATACCTGAAGTTACCACTGCACTTTGATTTCTCAGCTAGCTGATCCTATTATTAGCCTGAAGCTTTTAGCGTTGTTAATTTTAGCTATTGTTGTTAATTTTAGCTATAGTGTGTATGCACTCATAGAGAGAGTCAGAGAGAGGGAGAGATGGAAAATTTAATTTTATCTATTGTTGTTGTTAATTTTAGCTATAGTGTGTATGCACTCATAGAGAGAGTCAGAGAGAGGGAGAGATGGAAAATGAATAAAGCACCCCCATGGGGGATGACCACACTGCAATCCCTTCTCTTCTATTCTCCTCTTAGGATTTGGGAGATGAACACACACATGCCCAGTATGTTGTTCAAGCTGCTCAGTCTGGGACTTGAACTGAGCTGTTGGCCATGTGGGATTCAGCCTCCTTAGCCACCAGCCTTCTGGCTCTCCTAGACTGAAGAAATTTTGAATCACATTTCTCTCATTTAAAAAGTAAAGGATCATATTACTCATTATTCTATACATAAATGTAACAAGACTAGGGCCAGCCAGTGGCATGGTGATTAAGGTGACTGGATTCCACATGACCAACTGAGTGATTCTAGTCCTGGACCCTGTGGCTTGAAGAACATGCTGGGTACGTGTGCATATGTGCCCAAAATCCCAAGAGGAGAATAGAGGAGAAGGGATTGCAACGTGGCCACCTCCCAGGGGATGCTTTCTCATCTTCTTTCTCACTGTCTCTCTCTTGGATGAGTGCACATGCCCTACAGCAAAATAAAAACAAAACCAACAACCAAAACCTAGTAATAGGACCAAACACCTGATAAACCAATATTTAAGAAAGTAGTAACAATACTTGTAATTTATAGAGCCTTTGTAGGTGGCAGGCACAGTTTTAAGTGCTTTGCATGTATTAACTCATTTAGACCTGACAACTGTTTGAGGTAGGCGTGTAATTTACTCCTGTTTTACAGATGAGAAAACTGAGTCTCATGAAAGTTTTTTTGGCTAGTGTTTTCAGAGTCAGGGTTCAGACTCACGCATAGTAGGGAGAAATGGACCATCCCAACAGCTTACCTTCTAATAGTTTTCAAATGACCTTAGCATTGTGTAAGACAATTTTGAGCCATTTTTAAAGGGAATTATCAGAGGCAGTTGACTTCAGAAAACAAATATTGCCATGCATAATCACACTTCATGTTTGGCCGGAAGGG